GGTAATCAAATGTTAACATTGCAAAGGTGGTATTGAATTACTCCCTTTTCTGAAAAGTACTGAGTTTACCTTCAAATGACACAGTTGGGTTCTGCAAAAGTTGTATATGCCAGAGCTTCACAATTTGAAGGCATTTAAAAATAGGTAAAATGACATGCTGATTTGAATGTCATGTGTGAGGGGAACCACCTCTGGGAGATGGTACGTGCACCTTCTGTAGATAGGTGCCTGCCACACAGTGGACACAGAAGTAATTGAAAGAATCAACAGTTGGAGGTTTGGCCAGGCATGGTAGCCAGTGTCTGTAGTCCCAGATACGCGGGAGGCTGAGGTGGGAGGATTGCTGAGCCTACGAGTTTGAGGCTGCAGTGAGCTATGATTGCGCCACCGCACTCCAGCCTAGATGACAGAGCAAGACCCTGTGTCTGAAGCAAAGCAAAACAACAGTTGGGAGTTTGGATGCTGGTTCCACTGGTGGTGATGAGGCATGTTTCCTTCATCTTTCCCTTTCAGAAAGTAAAAGGTCCTCCAAGGTAGTGCTCGGCAAACTGCAAATGGACCTGTTTATCTTTGGCTCCCTCTTTAGAGTTCTGAATGCAAGTTCCGTTGCATCCTTTCCTCTACGGAGCTCCTGCACGGCCCTCTCTCCCTGCATGAAAGTGTGAGCCGGTGTAGCTGGGGGCTCAGAACCCTTCGACTCCTTGTCTGGGAGGGTGTTAGGACATGCCCAACGATCACTGTAAGGACAGGTTCCCAAGTGAAAATGGGTGGACTCTCAATCACTTAATTGCACATTAAAAAAAATCTTGTTTGTGTCCTTAAAGCATCACAGTTCTCACGTACCTGGTTCAGACTCTACTGTAAAATCACTATGAGGTGCTAACGTGGAGTGTCCCTGATAGTAGTTTGATAACTCTTCAGTGTTAAGGCCATGATGTTCAGATCTGTCCACACCTCAGGTTGCACCTCTGCTCTCAATTCAAAAAGTTCAATTTTTTTTTTTCGAGACAGGGTCTCATGCCCCGGCTGGAGTGCAGTGGTACAATCTGGGCTCACTGTAGCCTCGACCGCTAAGACTCAGGTGATCCTCCTACCTCAGCCTCCCTAGTAGCTGGATTTACAGGTCCATACCACCGTGCCTATCTAATTTTTATATTTTTTTATAGAGATGGGATTTTGCCATATTGCCCAGGCTGGTCTCGAACTCTTGGGCTCGATGATCCACCAGCCTCGGCCTCCCAAAATGCTGGGATTACAGGAGCAAGCCACCGCGCCCAGCCAAAAAGTTCAATTTTAGTACCTATTTTATTTCAGCTTCCCCATTGTCATCTGGCAACGCCTTCTTGACTCCTCGTGGAGGGACTCCTGGCCTCGTGGCCACCTGCTGGCTCCCAGGGCGGACCTCCCCAGGCACTGGGGCTGATGGGCATGCTTTCTGTCGTGTCGACATAAAGCCACTCAGACCAGCTGACAGCAGTTACAGGCCAAAATATATTCCCTCCACCATCTCTCCACCCTTTCTTTTCAAAACGGCCTGAAAGTAGAGCCAATGGCTCTGTTTTAAGGCATCATTACAAAGACATCTCAGAGTCTCTCAACTTGTTTATCCACATACGTTTCTTAAATGCTCTGAGGCCCACTTCCCTCCTAGGGAAAAGGGAATATTGGTAAAAATGAGCATTGATTGGAGGCTCCCTGGTGTAAGGTTCCACGCTTAGCACTATCCAAGGATTGTGGAGTAAGTTCTCTGGGAAGCCCTCTGAGGCAGTTCCCCGAGCTCTGGGCTAGATGAAAGGCAGAGCTAGCATTCGTCCTGGGCAGTGTGACCCTGGAGTCCCTGCTGTGACCAGCACGGTCGCAGCTCCCTATAGCGCCCACCTCCCACCTTGGAGGAGTTGCTGTAGGGAAACCCCGTCTCTACTAAAAATATAAAAAAAAAAAAAAAATTAGCCGGGCGTGGTGGCAGGTGCCTGTAGTCCCAGCTACTCGGGAGGCTGAGGCAGGAGAATGGTGTGAACCTGGGAGGCGGAGCTTTCAGTGAGCCAAGATGGCGCCACCGCACTCCAGCCTGGGTGACAGACCCAGACTCTGTCTCAAAACAAAAAGAAAAAATAAGAAAGCAGAGGGTTCCTGCTCTCAGTCTGCAGGGAGCCCGGGTCTCCTCGGGGTGTGCCTCTGTGCCTGTCGGGGCTGGGATGCGGCGGGGCCATAGTCATCTTTCCCAGGTCTGTGATTTCGTGCTTTGGAAATAGCACCACCCAGGGTTGCTCTGGGAATGTTATATCAGCTGTGTGATTTTGTGTTTCCATGGCCAGTTTCTCGTACTTCGAGGTATTCTGAAGTTTAATTAGATTTGAATTTCTCTTGAAGTCTCTCTTGAAGGCAGAGTATTTTTACCTGTGATTTGTTGTTTTCAGAACCCAGCCAGAAACACAGTCAATTCATTTTTTTAATATAAGAGAGGTAAAGTCAGCAACAGAGTGATGATGATCCACAAAGCAAGGTTGATCTCTGACTGCTTTTCTTCTGGAAATGGTGATGAGATAGATGAGTCTCTTTACAGAAGCACAAATGCTTAGCCCCAGAGGCGCACCTCACACGAGATCGTGGTGCAGGGGACTCTGAGATTCACACAGACACGTGTCTATGTGTGGATACGTTTAGCATATGTTTGAAATAAACAAAAGTAAGCTGCATTCCCTACCTTGAAAGAGAGCCTCCCAAAGCCTTTTGACTGTTGTGACTTTCAGCCATGCCAGCCTCATGTGGTGACTGAGTTGCACGGCTAGTTTGCAGCCAGCCTAAGCACCCTCACTTTGGGGCATGTTGGGCCTTCCTGTTTGGGGGAATGATGGCCTTCCAATCCGTGCACACTATTGTCCACTTAAACATTAAATTTCCCAGCCACACAGCTTCCATCTGACAGCAAGGGGGTTATTAACCATGATTATGTGAGTCCTCCCCACTCTTTCCACCCCCACCAGCTGGACCACCCACCTTTAAAAGACCCAGCGCTTGCTGGACAGTCCTAGAGATTAAACCACACTGCGGTGGTGGTTTACCCAAAAGAGGGCATGGCAGTGGACGCAAGGACCTGTCCCCTTCTCTAGTCTTTTTCATTAGGAAGAAATCTGTGCCTTTGGGTAGGAAAATGGTCTTGGGTAGGCGCCTCAGCCCAGCCAGCAAACTGGTATTGTGCTCTTTGCTGCCCTGTGCTCGTCACTGGGGACTCAAGGACAAAGGAAACACGGCCGGCTTCCCCAGGCTGCTCCCAAACAATGCTCTAATAAATCACCAAGAGTTCTCTTCTCTTTGAAGCCAAGCCTATGTGTCTGGGAGGTGAAGGAAATGAATGGCATGCCAGACGTGCAGAGGAATTGGGGGGTGCCGCTCTACAGCCTCTGCTGAAGTGTTCATTTGTTCACTTGTGGTTTAAATAATACAAGAATGACACCTCTCAGCATGGGGAGATGAGCAGGAGCCTGTGAGGAAGCAGATTTGGTGCCCTGATGGCAATGCCCTAAATCATACCCCAAAAACTACTTAGAAGTTTCTCCGTTGTGTTCTCTAGAACAAATAGAAGGGTTTTTGTACTTGACGAAACTGGGGAGCATATTTATTTTGTAGACTCACGATGGAATCTAAAGCAGGATTCGACCTTAGGATTGCCCTCTATAACCCGTCACTTCACAAATAGGGAAACGGGGGCAGGGTGCATGAAGCGACTCGCCCCAAATGCATAGACAGGTGCGGCAGAGCCTGGGCCATGCCTTATCCTGCCAGTTCTTTACCCCCTAGTTTGCCCCAAAAGTGACTGAAATGACTTCCACGAATGTTCAGAGCCATGTATCAGTGATGGGCCTACAACTGGCTTTTAAAGGACACTGGGTACATTTTAGGGGACAGCCTTTGGAAGCTGGCTTCAATGAGGCCTTTGAGCACAAGGGCTCAGCGGCCTTCGCACTGATGTGTGGAGCCCCCGGGTCCCTCAGAAGCAGGCTCTCCCCTGCTCCCTCAGAGCGTCTGCGTGGAGAGCACGCTTTTATACAGCGCTCTTCTGAGTAAGATTTCTTTTGAAGTGAATTAATCTGAAAACTACTATTCTATAAAGAAACAATTTAGCCATGCTGAAAAGAATACAGTGTTATCATCACAAATAACAGAATCTGAAGTTGTGTTTCTTTTTTTCACTTTTAACCTCATGCTTCCCCGCTGTCTCCTCAGGATGAATGGGGGGATCTGGGTGGGCTGGGGAATCACCTTCACAGGCTTTTCTGAACACGCCCTCCTGCTTGGTTTCCCCACTAGATAGGATCTGGGGGACAACATCTTTTCCAGCTCTTTGACTGATGGATGGCCTGAGAAGCTTCGCTCACAACTCAAGTTTATGGCTTTATGGCTCTTGTTCTCTTCTCTCTTTACCATGAAAGCCCCTGGGGCAGGCATGGAGACACAGCCCATTACTGGGAGCTTGGAAAACACTAAACAAGTAATTGTGGAATGCCAACTGCCCAGGGGAAAAGCCCCTATGTATTTGGGAGAAAGAAAAAAAGCATCTTCTTTTTTATTGCTATTTTCAGGAATGTGTGATATTTTGATACAGGTATTCAATGTGTAATGATCAAATCAGGGTAACTAGGATATTCGTCACCTCAAATATTTATCTTTTCTTCCTGTTGGGAACATTCCAATTCTTCTCTTCTAGCTATTTTGAAATATACAATACGTTATTGTTAAGTATTATTTCCCTGCTAACACAGCATCTTCTGAAAGCTGCCCGTCTTAGGTGATGACTGTTGTGAGGGTTAATTTTTGTGATGGGACTGTCTGCTATTTCCTAAGTGCACCAGAGGAGAAGTGCATAAAAAGGAAAGAAAAAAATAGGAAATCAAATAGACTTATTTCTGAAATGTTGCTCTATTAGCAACATTAAGGTGATATTTTGATGCTGAATTATTCTGAATCCACTAACTATCTGTACCTCTTTGTCCTTCTTTCAGAATGCTGGAAGATGACCTTAAGCTAAGCAGTGATGAAGAGGAGAATGAACAGGTAAGATTCTCTTTTATGTCAGCATCCTTTGGAGGTGACACTGGGAACAGTGACCTGGTGGACTGTGCTGGGTTTTAACGGAGCTGAATGGTGGCACTCAGGATGCTGGTCTTTCGTCTGCTAAGTGTGAGCTTCTATGCAGTTGGGTCAGTATGTTAAAATAGCTTGCCCATAATTTCCCTTAAGCCTTGAATTCTGTAGTTTTTATGATGTTGAGACCACCAATGGGTATTATAAGGAAGCTAAGATCAGGCTTCCCTCAGAAATAGAGCCCTTTTTTTTCCTTTTTTTTGTGTGTGTGTGTCTCTGTGTGTGTGTGTTTGTGTGTGTGTGTTTGTGTGTGTCTCTGTGTGTTTGTGTGTGTGTGTCTCTGTGTGTTTGTGTGTGTGTGTTTATGTGTGTGTCTCTGTGTGTGTGTTTGTGTGTGTCTCTGTGTGTGTGTTTGTGTGTGTGTGTGTGTGTGTCTGTGTGTGTGTTTGTGTGTGTGTGTCTCTGTGTGTGTGTGTGTGTGTCTCTGTGTGTGTGTTTGTGTGTGTCTGTGTGTGTGTTTGTGTGTTTGTGTGTGTCTGTGTGTGTGTGTCTCTGTGTGTGTGTTTGTGTGTGTTTGTATGTGTGTGTGTTTGTGTGTGTGTGTCTCTGTGTGTGTTTGTGTGTGTCTCTGTGTGTGTGTTTGTGTGTGTGTGTCTCTGTGTGTGTGTTTGTGTGTGTGTGTCTCTGTGTGTGTGTGTGTGTGTGTATGTGTGTGTGTTTGTGTGTGTGTGTCTCTGTGTGTGTGTTTGTGTGTGTGTTTGTGTGTGTTTGTGTGTGTTTGTGTGTGTCTCTGTGTGTGTGTTTGTGTGTGTTTGTGTGTGTTTGTGTGTGTGTCTCTGTGTGTGTTTGTGTGTGTGTGTTTGTGTGTGTGTGTCTGTGTGTGTCTCTGTGTGTGTGTGTCTGTGTGTGTTTGTGTGTGTGTGTGTGTGTGTTTGTGTGTGTGTGTATTTAGCTAACCAGCCTTCTGGAGATCAAACATATGACCTTAACTTCATCAGCACGCAACAGGCAATCTGTAACATTAAATATTGAGAAGTCTTATACAGATATTATTAACATTGAGAAGGAGCAAACGTAGAGGTGAGCCAAAATGATGAATAAAAAATAATCATGCTCGGTATAGGCTGTTTGTCTTAAATGATAAATGTGCTTGAAATATTCTCCCCTGGTGTTGATTTATCAGCTCCAGACATCAGTTAGGGGGTTATAAATACTCTTCTGATCAGTCAGTTAAGGTGAAAAAATATCCACTTAACATTCATCACTTTCACTTCTGCATTTCAAGAAATGTTTGTATTTCAAAGCAAGTTTTAAAACACTAAAGGCAGATTTTTCTACACTTCTATTTTCTTTTTCTCATCCCCCATGTTGCATTTTGTCAAGTTTAGATACATGTGATGTGTAGAAAGAAAATTCAGAGAGGCTTTTTTTAATAAGTCATTTTTGTATGCAATACAAAATACTAATGCTATTCTATTGGTTTTGGAATAGTGAACTTAATAGAAAAGTATCATGAAATGCTATGCAGATGATTTGCTGTCTAGACATGCAAATACAAATAATGTACAGAGAGAGCAAGCAGAGGTTAAATAAAAGTCAAAGGAGAGGTTGGGCACGGTGGCTCACGCCTATAATCCCAGCACTTTGGGAGGCCGAGGCCGGCAGATCACGAGGTCAGGACATCGAGACCATCCTGGCTGGCACGGTGAAACCGTCTCTACTAAAAATACAAAAAGTTAGCCTGGCGTGGTGGCAGGTGCCTGTAGTCCCAGCTACTGGGGAGGCTAAGGCAGGAGAATGGCCTGAACCCAGGAGGCAGAGCTTGCAGTGAGCCGAGATCGCACCACTGCACTCCAGCCTGGGCAACAGAGCGAGACTCTGTCTCAAAAAAAAAAAAAAAGTCAAAGGAGAATTTCAAGTAAGAGTATCTGAGCATAGCATAGCTATGAGGTCACAAAAAGAGGTTACTCATCTCATGGGAGAAACTGAGGCACCAAAAAGGTAGAAGAGCTTGAGGAGTCTGGAAACCAGATTGGCAGGTGGAGAATACCCAGTGGAAGAAGGTTAACTGGGCAAAGAAGGCCACTGAGGCTTTGAGTTTTTTAGAGATCTGTTGATTTGTTTCCAGGGCAGCCAGATATCTGCCACACAGCAGTCTCAGCCGAAATGGAGAATGGCTTCACTCCTAATTTTGGCTTCTTATCTACATGACGATAAGCAAATGATTTCACCTCTTTGTGTTTTTTCCCATTAAGTGGCCTGGATACATAGATTATGGATTAAATCATATCAAACATGTAAATTGTGTATGCTTTTTATTAGAAAAAGGGTTCACAGACTATTTCAATCTGCAAACCTTTTTAAATTTGGAAATAATTTCCCGAGCTATTTCCAGGAAGTATTTCCAATGAAAACTCAATTTTAATAAACATTACTAATGACATACTATACATGTTCTCCAAGGCAGCGAGAGCTTTTAGTTGACTCATTTTGCTTTTTAAGCTACTCCCTTCCATTCCGTATTCACTGATAATATTGTGTTATGAATGTACAGGTCAGATCCTTTATTCTTGCATTTAATTCCTATGTGAATATACCTTCCTATTTTTGCAATAAAAGGAACTGACAGAATGAATAATTTTTATACAGTAATCCCTTTTTCCTAATTAAGACTCCAGACAGTGGTTTCACATATGATACTTTTAAGTTATTGCTTCAACAGTAATTGCATTAAGTTGTCCTGCTTTGGCCTGTAATTATACCCTGGTCTAATCACAAAATTGTAATTCCCCTACTTTTAAACAAGACAAATGATACGGTATTTTTTTCTCTTCAAGACCAAACTATGCTTTATCCCTGAAACAGCATAGCCTGTGCACAAACACACACACACACACACAATCGTTCCCTGGCATTCCGAGATAATTGAACATTTAACATAAATGATTTTTCTGGATGTAAAATCAGAGTTTGTACCTTAAACCCAAAATATTTTTAAAATCCCTTGCCTCAATAAACATAGTACAGTGTGTGAAAATCCTGAACCTTTTCTGACATTATATCTGGCTGTCTTTGTGAATATTGGTCCAACCAGCCTATGTGCCACTGTAATAAAGAGGTGTCTATGAGAGCTTCAAGTTGATATACCTGCCTGCCCTTCCTCAGATCGCCTCAGACTTCGTGCTTTTGAACACTCCTACCTGAAGTTTCCTTTTCTCCCCATTGCCTTTGTGATCCTAAAGGTCAAAAGACAGTCTAGTTTAGTGGTTAAGAGCACAGCCGCCCCACGCCAGGGATTCAAATCCCCACTCTGCTACTTAGTTTTGTAACCTTGGCCCAGACTCTGAACTGCTCTCTGCCTCAGTGTCTCTGTTTGTAAAATTGGAATTAATGCTAGATCCCCAAGCCTGCCACTTTGTCAAAACTTGAGGTCACCCATCATCTTCATGTCACTAGATCCAATAGGCACTTTTTTTGTATGTATACACACACACACACACACACATACACACACACAGACGGAGTTTCACTCGTCACCCAGGCTGGAGTGCAATGGCAATGGTGCGATCTTGGCTCACTGCAACCTCCGCCTCCCGGGTTCAAGTGATTCTTCTGCCTCAGCCTCCTAAGTCACTGGGATTACAGGCACCTGCCACCACACCCAGCTAATTTTTGTATTTTCAGTAGAGACGGGGTTTCACCATGTTGGCCAGAGTGGTCTCAAAATTCTGACCTCAAGTCATCCACCTGCCTCGACCTCCCAAAGTGCTGGGATTACAGGCGTGAACCACCGTGCCCAGCCTGTTTGTATATGATTTATAAAAATGATGTGTCTTTAAAAATGATTTTTTTTATATATATGTATGATATAACCAATATCAAGATGAAAACACAGACATGACCAGCCTCCCAGGTGCCCCCATGCTCCCACCAGTCACCACTCTACGGAAGAATAACCACTTTCCTGTTTTCTAACACCATAGTGTAATTTTGCTTATTTTTGCACTTTATATCAATGGAATTATTTGGCATGTACTCTTTTGTGTCTGGCTTCTTTCGTTCAACATTGTTCACCCATGTTGTTACCTGTAATTGAAGTTTGTTCATTTTCATTGCTGTATCCTGTTTCATTATGTGTGTACGCCATAATTTACTTACTCATTCCACTGCTAACGGGCACGTGGATATTTCGGTGGGGGTTGGGGGGTAAAATAATGTGCTCTTATTAGCATCCTTGTACAGGTCTTTTCATCCTTGTACAGGTCATTTCTTGAGCACATGGGAACATTTTTGTTGGGTCTATACCCAGAAGTATAAATGCTGAACAGTAGGGTGTGTGCATATTTACACACCCTACGGATACATTTTAATTAATACATTTAGACCATTTTCATTTGAGTAAATTATCTCAAACCATTTTCCAAAATGGTTCCACCAGTTGACACTCCCACCAGCAGTGTAAGAGAATTTCAGTTACTCTACATCCTCACCACACATTTGTCTTTTTAATGTTCACGAGGGATATTGATTGGAAGTTTTCTGTTTTGTACTGTCTTTGTCTAGTTTTGATATCAGGGTAATACTTATAAAATGAATTGAGAAGGATCCCCTACCCTTTTCTCAAAAAGACTGTGTTTTTAAAAAACGATGTTAAGTCAAGCACAGTAGCTCAGGCCTGTAATCCCAGCACTTTGGGAGGCCAAGGTGAATGGATCACCTGAGGTCAGGAGTTCGAGACCTCAATATAGCTTGATGGAAGCATCTTTAAGAAGTGGCTATAGCCATGGAGAGTGGATAAATGCTTTTTTACTCAAATAGGTTATTTGTGTATTAATATATAGCCAATTTAAGATATTAGGCCTTATATTTTTGTCATCTCTGTCAATACTTTTGATGTTTGGATAAAACTCATTTGAAAAATCATAGAGTTGAGCCTGACCAACATGATGAAACCCCGTTTCTACTAAAAA